ATAGCATTGATTTCAGTGGTTTGTTGTCTTTTCTTCAGGTGAAAGCCAAGAGAACATGGAGGGACAGAGTGCTCCGTACTCAACAGTATGCCCATTTGACGTACCACTGCAACTTCTGTCGCAAAGACTATAAAGGCTTGAATGTTATGAGGCACGCTCTCTCACACCTTAAGAGTAGCAAACTAAGATGTATACTATGTGAAAAACGCTTTAAACAGCTTCCTTTTGCCAAAAAGCATGTTCTGGACCACATTGATGAAATGTGCAAGCAAAAACCTCCAGATAAGGAGCCATGCACCAAGGACACCCCAGCTGCTAATGGAATAGCAGATAATGTGGAAGATCAGAACGAGCCTCAGGATGAGAATCTTACTTCCATTTCTGATGAGGAAATTCCAGGACAGAAACCTGGAGGCAAAACTAGAGTTTCCAGCCTCAAGAGGGAAGATCGAATCATCAGAAACCTCCGCACCCTCATCAAAAAGACATCCGTGCTACACAAAAAGTGCAAGAACCCTAATGCAAATATTTTTAAGCAGGTAGATTTCAAGGATGAGCAGGTAGTCATTAAAGATGGCCTGGTGATTGTAAAAGATCCATCTGTGATGGAGAAGGAGGGGGATGGAGAGGGGAAGGAGAACCCGGTAGGAGAAAATGGCTATGGTGTGGACATCACGTATCACTTGTGCCCTTCAGAGTCCTGTGATAGAGTATTCTTGAGGATCAGCACCACACTAACAAAGCATGCGATCAAATGCCATATTAATGATGAGAAAGTGCTGGAGAAGACTTTCATTTGGGCCAAGCACAAGTGTTCCCTCTGTCTCAGGTAAGATGTACAGTATATCAGTCATCACAGACTAACTTACCTACATTTAAACTTGGCCATTTTCACATAACTGAGTTAATGACTGCATCTGCCTTGTGATTTAAAAAAAAACAAAAACAAAAAAACAAACTGCACCTGAATTGAAAAAACTGTTATTTTTATTATTATTATATTAAGTTCCAGTATAACAGGCCATTAATAGAGATTCCCAGTTCTATATCAGCTACCTAAATCACAAAATTGATTAAATTATGAGTCAGTTAGCAACTCCTACCTTTCCAGCAAATGAATGTGGGACAGCTGATGTACAACATGGAGAATGATGACACACCAGTTGAGATTAAAGCAGCACCTTTCTAGTTTTGGTTGTCTTTTGGATTCCAGACCAACTTGTGTTTGTTTTGTGAATTCAATGGAAAAGTAAGTAAAGTAATGCATATTCAGATTCACAACCAATTTATTGGGGGGCTGAGAGGCAATTTCTTGCTTTACCTGCTAACTAAAGTGGTAATGATAAGAGTTAGTAGTTCATACTCAATACAGTGTTTACCATTTGATATGCTGATTTCTGTAACAGTCTGTTACTGTGAGAAATTCCTCATTTGATGCCAAATATACAAGAAGTTTCTTTAAATTTCAGCATTCTTGTATACTTTCAGCAGAACTTATTTGGATTATTCAATTTGCTGCTAAATGTTAATTAATGCAAATTGTGTTTCTTAGGTGAACTTACTGTGCTGACTGTCCTTTCCACCAACAGGCAGATGCAGTTCCTCCAGCAATATAAGGATCACATGAAGCTCCACGATACCCCTCTCCAGCATTTCTGCTACCATCTGGAGTGTAACCAGCGTTTCTTGACGCACCAGGAATTGAAGGACCATGTCAGCACCCACCAGCCCTTCAGACCCCAGTGTCCCTTCACAGACTGTGAGAAGCTCTTCTCAAGCCTTCAGGGACTCTATGACCATGAATGGAGACACTACATCCCAGCGCCTCAAAGAGAGGAGTTAGAATTGGGACCCAGCAGACAGAAAAAGCAAAACGCTGAAGCGCCGTGGAAGCAGAGAGTGAAGGTCGAGGAGTTATGGCTGCAGAATAAGAAGGGGCAGAGCGAGAGTCCCACCCCTGATCATGTTGAGGCCACTAATTTTGAGTGTCTTGAGGAAATTAAAACTGAGGAGGAGGATTGTGAAATAAATGTTGCAAACAGTGGTGAGGATCTGTCCAGATCAGATAATTATTCAGAGGACACTGTCAAATGCGAGCCCACAGATGACAGCAAACCCGACATCAATGGATATGAGGATGTGGCAACAAATGCATCTGACGGATCAATCTCCACTTCCCATACTGTTGCTGCTGGAAACACTCCAAGTAAGAAGTGTAGAAAAAGAACGCCAGTCGAGTGGGACCCTTTAAATGTCCGAGACCTTGAGGATTTGTCCACTTTGTCCGAGGGAGTCCAACAGAAACTGGGAGAGCCGCACATCACTGAGCACAAAACCTTCAAACCCGAAGATCCCGCCTACGCCACTTTTGTCAAAGCCCCCTTCATCCGGCCACCACCCTCCACATACCTGGATGAATCCCTGCTCTCAATGCGCAAGAGGAGGTCCACTGATGAGGCTGCTGCGAGGAAAAACATTTACTGGAGCAATAAGAAAAAGAAGGAGCCCGTCCCAGAGCAGGAGCAGCGGGTGGAAGACGTGGCCCCTGAGCAGAAGATCAGACATCGCTGCGACAAATGTCTGTCATCCTTCAGCAGCTTAGAAGAATTGCAGAAACACCAAGCCCTTAACACCTGCTCTGCACTCTTTGGCTTTGATTCAGATGATGAAAGTAAATACACTTGATTCACTGATTATGAATACAGTTCATAAATATGAATATGTCCAACCCCTTTGGACCACTGAATAATTGTTTTTGTTCTGTTTTTTTTATTTCTAGGTTAGTAGTGCGTGAAGAGGAGCTGTAGGTCACCTGGCTCAGGGTAAGCCTTGAAGATAAATGAACACTGGAACCTTTTCTCAATACTCAGATACAGTACCTATTTAATTCTTGGATACCAGTTTGTCAACAATGACAGGAAATGTGCCAAAATGGTAAATGGAAGGATTTTATTGATTGATAAAACTTCTCAAGCAATAACGTTGACAGCTAAAATTGGTTTTTAACTAATTTTCTTCAAAACATCTTCAGTGTGCACTTTGTCAAATACGCAAAAAAGGTGATAAATCTATTAATTCTCATAATCTATGATAGGTCAATATTTATTCACCTTTTTAAACAAAATTGGTTATAAAAAAAACAAATTTTGTTTTCTCAGTATATCTAAAAGTAACTCAGAACAATGTCTGGGAACTGAGAAACCAACTATGGCCCAGGACAACTTCCACATGAACCATAAACCATAAAATAACTTCACACAAATCACATGTATTCCTTTTCTGTATTTGCATTTCTGAAACTTTGTCACTAAGTAACTATACACAGTTTCAACCTGACTTTCAAGTTTATTCCTTGGCAAGTTCTGACAAATGTAATTCAGTCATTCATTTTTCCCGAATAGGTAGGAGGAGGCGAAGCTGGATGTGTGGATAACTGAAATGCTTTTGCCTTATAAGGTACTACTACATAGCTTGATAAACACTCACCCACAAATGTTGTTGTCAGTCACGCAACACATAAGATGCAAAATGCTTTAGTCAGTGTGGTTTGCGCCACACTCCAAATCATATGTTTTCGTCAGTCAGGGCCGTAAACAGCAATGGAAAAATCCCCCTCAATGTTTCTGGCAAACTGCATCCCATTTAGAACTTGGTATAGCTATAAAGATTACTCTAAATGCCATATCCTTCATCTTCCACTTTAACCTATGAGGACTATAAGGCACATGTCAAATATACTGAAGCCTTTAACATTCAGATAAAGTGAGCCTGAAAGATTCACGTTTTTTAATTTGAACTTAAACTGGCTTTCTTCTTCACTCACCCTTTTTAGATCAATTAATTTTGTTTATTTTTTTGCAAAGATTTTAGAAGATAAAACTGTGGCCACCAAACCGATGTTTTTCCCTGGTGACTTGAGACTCAAGGCTGTGGTGTTGAAAATGATGCCATGAACAAGGCCTCATTCATGGCTTCAACTTATGATTTTAAAGTGATGTCCTTAGTATGGACTTTCCATTCAGTACAACATAACCAGTGTTTTCAACTGTATAAACTATTGTGAAAAATCCTAATAATTGATAGAAAGTTGAGCTCAGTGCGTGTTGCTCCCTCTGTTCAGAATGTATAGTCTTCCAAATGAACCATGCGCCACTCTAAGCTTTGGTCTTTGTAGACAGGATGTATAAAACAGGTTTATTAGACATGACAGTAACAGTGGATATGTGATGGTTGTCCTCTTTCCACGTCTCTGAACCATTAAAATTGATTTCAATTCTGAGTAAATCCTTAAAATCCTTGTCACATACAGACACTTTTAAAACTGTAAGGAGAAAGTGTTTTCAGCTTAATGTGTGTGGGCTGTTGTTTTCAGTAGTTAGGCAGAATTGGGTTTTGCCTTTGTTAACTAGTCCTCTGGTCATGGTATGACAACATGAATCACTTGACTCATTGAAGCCATGACCAAAATGTCCGAAACCATGTAAATCTGCCTTCATACTGTCACACTAATTCTTGTACAGCATATGAATTATTCACAATTTTATTAGTGCCAAGACTGAATCAGTGTTAGACTGTAGGTAAACAGAAACATTAAAGATCAGTAAAACAGCTTTGAATTTCAGTTTGACATTGTTACTCAGTTTAACTCAATGATCATGTATTTCATTATGTAGTATATTTTATATTGGTCCTTTGTTATGTATATACTTTTGAGATGGTTGATCTGTTTGATAACTTTTTAATGTAATGTTTTTATGGGACTGTGCACTTAAACTTGCTATTTATATGTAAAAATGTTAATAGATTGGATTTGTAAAGGTAATGATTCCTCATCTATTTTTCTTAAAGAAAAGGTGATTAAAATTGTTTGAATAAACAAATGATGAATCTAAAAGTTTGTTGCCATGATGATAGTTATGTTACATTTTTTGTTCCACATTATTCATGTAGTTTTACTGTTGTTAGGTGCAGTGAGATGATACAGTAAAAGAGAAAGCAGGCTGACTCAATATATACTTTATTGTAGTAGAGCATTGCATATTTACTGTACAGAAACATATTGCTTCATTAGCCCCCAGGAAAGAGGAAAATAGAACGATTACATTAGAATTGCTTGTTTAAAAAAGTTTTTGCATCACATTTTCCTGATACACAAGGTCATTTTGAAAAAATACAGGGATCACGTAATTACAACCCTTCCATTCACTTAAAGTCCACAAAGTGTTTTCCCTTTTTATTTTAATCTAAGTCACTCAGTAATGGAGTTATGTGTATTAAAGTCAAGGGTGCATTGTCACTGAAGGCATGTATTCCAAGAAAAAGTGCAGTCTATTGTTGTGTGACTTGTTTAAAATGTACTGCACATTTTAGCTGACAGTCTGGCTTTAACAAATTTGGATTTGCGCTGTTGCATTCTGACGTTACTGTCTTAATGACACTTTATTTATTTAATTGGGGGTAACGTGGGGGTTAAGTGTCAAAGTCCAACTATTATGGCAACTTATGGCTGAGCTTACAGGCTCGAAAAAACAAGCAATGGCAGAGAGGCAGGCCTGCTACAGGTCAGCGTTCAAGGTGGAAGGCTTTTCCCAATATCACATGCAGCAAATTCATTCCAGTTTTACCACATGCTAATTTAACCATTTGCTTTGGTGCTGTATGTAGCTTAAAGACAAAGAAACTAAGATGGATGGTAATGTGCAGGATTTTAAAGAATGACTGATGTAGACTACACAGAATGACTGGAAAGAGCATTAACAACGTATCAAACAACTTGAATATTGTTTCCACTTGCATTTTCTTTTGACCTGAGATAAGAAAGTCCAAAATTATGGAAACGGAAAGCCCCCTTGATAGAAGTTTTTCCAAGTCCCATTCTTCCTTATTACTGTACAGTTATACTAACGGAATATGTGGGAAATCACAATGGAAAAGGCATCGTGATGCGTCATGTTAAAAATGAATCTTACAAACGTTTAAGGCCAGGTAAAAGGGAAAACTTTAGGGAAAAGTTTTAAGTAAATTTTTTTGTTAAAAAATTGGAAAGAGTACTGCACACTTTTGTGGGCCTGTTCAGGTGGAAACTAAAATGAATTAAGACAAACTGCTACATGTATCTGTATTCATGACTACTGATATGGGCAATGAAAGATATTTTTCGAGACTGAGAATTTTTTTCAGTTTCTGCAGACATGCTGGAATAAATTAGCCGAATAAACGCGGCACATTATTCTCATATAGATCAACAATGACCATTTATCTTTGTGAAAAAAGTACAAATATGTCTCAACAGCATTCAGAGTTGGAGATAAACATGCAAAGTGTCAGAGTGCATCCCACATGGGTGTAGTTTTGATAAATGTTTTCATAATTCACAATATTATTATTTTTTTAATTAAATGTGCTAAAAACACAATAGTAGCACTTTTGCAAGTTCAAATGGAAGACCTGGATCAAAAGGAGGGGTGGACAATATTGTGGGTTCACATGAGAAGAGGGAGAAACAAAATACAATTAGGGATTAGGCATAAAACCTGATCAAGATATGCAAAAGTCTGAGCACTGCATCTGTCTGTGTTTCTTAATCAAGGACAAAGTAGCTGTTAATTCAAGGGCTTGGTCGTACAAAGGACACAGTCCACAAAGATGGGGATTTCAGAGGATAGAGCCTCCCTCATAACCACTGCTACCTCAACAGTGCTGGAGTGATGGACCAGCTTTGTGCAGCATCTGCAGTTTACTGCACACGAGGGAGTGGGTTTGTAAGTTCAAAAGGTTTCGATATGGCTTGTCAAGGCAGTGTGTTTGGATCAGCAAAGTTATCAAATGCTCCGCTTAAGTAGCCCAAATAAAGAGTGTTGAACTGACAAAATCATGATCATCTGAGTCCTGAGTTGCTGACTTGTTATCTAAAGACTAGGACTGGAAAGCACGGAAACCATATTTATGATTGAAGTTATTATTATTATAATATATGCTTGTTTAGCATTCTCTATAATTTACTCTAAAATAATTAAGATATGTCTGTTGTTTTTTAGGGTTTGATATTTAACAGTAAATATTGAAAAGCAAAGTCAATAGCACGCTTTATGTGCATTTTATCTTATTAAATATGCTGCTGCAGTACAAAACTTCTGTGTGCAACCTGTTTTCTAAAATAGGTTCTCTGTTGTAATTACTTGAAAGTAATAAAGTTGAATGTACAACTCATATATTTGGGGTACGGGGGCTTATGATAAGACCTTACAGTTAGAATAAGCCTAAAAGGGAAGTCGGATTTAATGGTACAGTGCAACAAACACGTCCCTTTCAACGCTTGGATTTATAGTCTGTTTTGCATAAAAACATTTGCATGAGGTTTGGGACCAGTGGACTGCATTTGGCGAACATGCCATCACCGTCCTTCTGGTTTTTAAGTAGATGCAGCTCAGGAGAAAGTGGACAGATGCAAAGAGACATAGTGTATAGCTGGGTGTGTAAGTATTTGTGTGTTCATGCTCAGTGGCTGCTGTTGGAGCTCCAGTCGTACGGGAGGAAGCAGACTTTGGTCTTTCCGGCAGAAAGGATGTCCTGCAGGCTGGTCTTCTTCGGCGAGTCACCCATGTGCTCCAGCACCCACTTCAGCAGCTACGACAGAGGGAAGATAAAACAGAGTGAGGTAAACAGTTGGGTTGAAGGTTGAAAATATCAGTATGTTTCTTGCAGTGCTTTGAATGGTAACTGTAATTTGCACTGTAGTTATACCCGCCAGTATTAATGGTAGACACAAGAGCTGATAATTAAATATAACTTAGGAGAGTTAAAATGCTGTTGTATACAATAAATACAGACAATAAGAGACTTCAAATGTTGATTTGGTTTTAAACCTACTTTCTCATCAGTGCCTCCAAAGTCAGCCTTGTACCACTTGAATATCTGACTGAGACGCACTTCTCTTTTCCCAGAATCCACCACACAGCCGTCGTCGTTCTCCAGGAAGGCTTCAGCTGCTGTGCGGAGCTGGCTGTCTATGTCCTGATAGGTTTGAGTAGATCACACTTGAGTTCAGACCATTCAAGCTTGTACAATGAATATAGGCCACTGCCCAGTGTATTCCCATTACTAATTATACAATAAAAAGACTGGTGGGACTGAAATCCACTCACCTGTGGAGTGTATGTTTTAATAGGTGGGCAGCCCTTTGCACCACAGTTCAAGGCAAAGTGAATGAGGGGCTCTGCGTCTGGGAGAGCCACCTGGTGGACAACAATAGAAGTGACATTTAATTACTCTAAATGATATTGTTATAGAGTGAAATGTTCAGGTGTGATTTAACAGAATGTCTGAATACTCTGAGCCGTGGGTCTGTTTTGGAGAAGGGCCTTCGAAGCTGTGCGACACCTTTTCTGTTCCCTCTCAGAACGCCGTTCTCTATGTCCTGTAATGTGAACACTTCTCCTCCAATCAGGTAGCTCACATAGTTGAAGAACTACAAAATGGGACGGAAACAAAGCTCTTTAATGTAATGCACTTCTGCCCACAGGATAAAAAAAAATACAACAAAACTTTAGATAAAGTGACCTCCATGCTGTTTAGTATGCATACGTTTTATCTTTATATTTATCTGCATGTAAAATAATATATGCTGAAATGAGAGAAAATCAGTACAAAGAAATTAATATCTTTAACTTCAGTGTAGACATCAGCTGAGCCTTATTGATTTCTTTAAATGCTTTTTGCGCCACAATAATTTCCACATATATGAGGGCTATGTGATCCTACTCTGTATCTTTGCCACATGTTGGTGGGGGGCCCCATACGTAGGTACCCGTGGATGACCAAGGCGTTGTAGATGTTGATGAAGAAGGCCAGCTTCTCCTCTCGGCTCAGTGAAAGGAGCTCCAGCCTCTGCAGCTGAATGGCTAGTTCACAGTAACGCTCAAACGCAGGGTTCAATGACATGCCTTTGTAGTCCACAGACTGCGGGAGCAAGAACACAACCACACAGTCAATTTACAATGCAAAAACATGTAAAGTCATATCAATGTCATAAAAGGCCACAAGATGAAAAACGCACGAGGTCAGTCTGCGTGTGCAGCCATTTTGTCGATGCACATGAAACTTCAGAGGAACCTGCCCGATGCAACGGTGCACACTGCATGCCACAGATGCATTTCCAAAACAGACGCGTGTACATTTGAAAATCACTCAGTGAGTCAGAAGCCCTCCGTAGTCAACGACGACATTACCTTGCCATCAGCAGAGAGATGCTCGGAGAACAATTTCAGAATCATCTCTCGTAAAAGCAAAGAGAGCTCAGCCGCTGCGAGAGGGGGAGAGAGAGAGAGAGAGAGAGAGAGAGAGAGACGGTTAATGTTTCATATACTCACCAGCTTTTGATGCTGAGACAAATCAAAGCACTGTTTGAATGGGAAGGACATTTACAGACTGCAACAAGGATCAGGCTAACCTTGAAATAGCACAAACAAGATCATTATTAGGAAACACTACCTGTGAGAAAAAAAGACCATTGCAGATAAATTCAAGCCAAGCATAAAAACACAAACACACTTTTGAAAAGCAGTGATTATACACAAATTAGCTCGTCAGTTAGCCTCTGGAGGGGAGCAAGGTCAGTTACAAATACAACAATACAGAAGCCACCCATCACCACAGCAGAAGAAAACAATTTGAGAATAAATTAAAAGCTAATAAGCCGTAATATGTCAAAAGATGACACCAAACCCACAGCAAAGCAGAATAAGATTTTGAAATAGGGCTTGAATTATATATATTTTCATATTTCTGAACACTAACCAAGCTAAGCTGACACTAGAAGATATTTTGAACAAATACTATGTGTAAAAAAACTTTTAATTTGATCATTTTTATTTACTTATTTTCAAAACACGACTGATTATATATCTCATTAACCCCCTACTTCAACTCTTACCACCATTAACTTCTCTGAAATAATACACAAACCCAAGCGAACCCAAAAGCCAGCAGCCAAGAACAAGGGACAGGTGTTAAAGAGTCTTGACGGACACTGCTCAGAGTGAACCTGGGAGGCAATGTGTGTATGCCCAAAGCCTGGTCCAGTCCTGACCTACCCTGTATAGGACTGCAGGATGCAGTCTGTCCTGTGTTGAGGGCTGAATGAGGGTCATCCTCCAGCAGCCTGAACAGTGTGTCCATGGTGTCTTTCCCTTCTCCAAAACAGCCATCCTGCCGCCCACAGTCACGCACACTGACCATGTACTTCTTCTGCAACAACGCCTGGCCAGTGTTACAGGCCTCAGCCCTGGCTAGCACACACATGGCCACAGTCAGTGGTGTACAGCTCTGGATTTGATAGTTTTAATGAGTTTCTAGTTTGTTCTCATAACGAAGACAATCAAACTACCACAACAGAGAAAGCCTGTTTTACTGCAGGTCTACAGCCTTACTTACCCATGCCCTTTTCTTTCTGCAGCCAGTCAACCAGCTGATCGCCTGAGAAGCTCTTTTTGTATAAAGTCAGCCCCTTCCTTTGATTGCCAATCACACTGCCATGTTTGAGGTCATCTACCAGGTCGGCCAACTCATCTCTCTCACACTTAAACTCTTTGAGGGAAGGAATATGCCAAGTCGCACATGTACAAACAAACAGAAACACACATGTTCACACCCACATGAATGAAAGAATATGTGCAACTATATAGTCCAGTAGTATCAGGATAAAGGTAAAGGGATCACCTGAATTGGGTCAGATCATAGTTTCTTTTTCCCCCCAACACAGCTGTTTTACATTTTTCTTCCTGAGAAATAATCCCTTATGAGCACAATTTAACATAATTAGGTGACAACTTTCACTGTAGGCATTAATGTAAGGCTGAACTGTGAAAGATTATCAAGGGGACACGAGCAAATAAAGCTTTAAACTAACAATATCTATATGACATTATACATTCACTATATGTAGGCACGTCACCACCAAAACATGGCTGCTGCTCTACTACTAACTCTCACTGTTACTGTTGCTGTGGCAGCAGGAGCTGAAAGTACAGGTTGGTGTGGCCACTTCACAACGGCAGCACATTGAATCGCCTGACTATTTGATCTTGTCCTTCATAATATTTATGATGATGTTGCCAATACTACATCAAAGCTAACACTGAATTTAAATATTTCCTCACAAACAGCTGTGTATGTGCCCCAGTGGACAGACTCTGTTTACACTGTCGGGAGCTTAATAATCACATATAATGAGGTACTGTGAGACAGCCTGGTGCTGCTGGGCTCCTCCAGAGTATCGAGTTCCCTATATCAACTGTCTGTGCTGGCTTTAGTGACAGGAGATGAGATAAAACAAACACACACACTCACACACACATGCACACACAAACCTGCTGCTTCCCAAACATGTCCATATATGCCAGCACTATTTCATAACCACTCATAGCTCTTGGCTTGCTTCTTGAAAGAGATGACTATGCAAAACCAGCCCTCATAACTCTGGTTCAGTCTTACTGTTTAAAGCCGGAAGAAACAGTTTTCTCCTCACTCCATTTCACCATTTGACTACAGGCAACACCCACTCCAGAGCAGACCAAACCGGTCTGAAACTGATTTACTAACTAACATTGCACAATTAATCACCCCAACAATGGAAAAAATGTGTATAATCGTTAAACACAACATGAAATGTGTGTTATAGACAAAGTTCTCAGCAGTGATAAAATTGGCTGTTCCCACATGTGAAGGCAATGAAGTAATCTAGAAAAAGCAAATAGTCTGAGTAATGAATCCCTCACCTCCATCGGTCTCCCCAGCTGTATCCTCTGACCGGTTCTCCTCTGGTAGCGGTGGAGCGTCTGCTGGAAGAGGCTGCTCCTTGACCAGACTCACCAATCTTCGAAGCTCCTCAGGAGCCTGATGAAGTGAAACGGAGCAACGCGTACATAGAGGTTTAAACACACTTTTGAATAATAGTAGGTATAACTAATATTTTCTCCTCCTCCTCACCAGTTTCTGCAGGTCATCATTGCCCCCGACATGAACGTTGTTAAAGAAGATCTGAGGGACTGTGCTGCGTCCTGTCAGCTCCTTCACTCTGGCTCTCAGCTCTGGATGCTTACCCACGTCCACGTCACATACTGGTATTTCCAATCGCCCGAGGGTGGCCTTAGCTTGCACACAGTGTGGGCACCCCTGGATGGAGTACACCGTTACCCGGCCCAGAGCACTGCTCTCAAACTCCCCCATCTGCAGCAATAATGGTAAAATGGGAGTTTTAAGCTCTAGCTGTCCAGAGAAAATTGGTGGAACTCCATGGGTTTCAGTAATGATCTGTTTTGACTCTGATTAATTTATGCAAAAATAGTTCATCCATAGTATTCCTCTTTCTGCTCTTGGGTACTGAGCAAGAGGGTGCTTTATCCTACACATGATAAGCATATTGGATACACCCTTTTGGCCAGAATGAAGCCTTAAACTACAGTAGCTTTGTTCTCCGTGTGTATGTGTGTACATGTGTAAGTACACACTGTCTATGTTGTATATTCATGCATGCATATATACATCTAGGTTTGTGTGTATATATATATATGTTAGATACGTTTTGTATAGACTCACACGTAAAAAAAACATCTCTTATTTTCTACATTTACAGGAGGTAAAATCTGAGATTTATTTTAAATATGTTGATGCCTACATCTCTGGTTTATCCTTACACACTGACTGAAAGAGCAATTGTTTTCTCTGTCCATACTCATAAAGGTGAGACTGTCTATCTGATTAAGATTAACTGGCCGCATGTAAATTTAGGGGTCATGCGTTCAGTTCACTTGTGCTTTGTGTTCCCTGAGGAAGGAGACAGTTCTCCAAATGTTTTCGCACCATAAAATATGCTGAAACAATCATGTTCTTGTCCTCAGCTTTCTGTATTGCCATTGATGTCTCTACATTTTGTTTAGAGTGATATTCTCCAGGCCAGTTGAAGGATTTAAACCACTAATCTTACAGCCCACTTTTGTCATCTGGAGAATTGAGCATAAGGAGCTCAGGATCTCTTTTTGCCTGACTTGATGTATGGTTGGCGTAATTTCCTCCCTGCTCATTTCTCAACATTTCCTTGTGTTGAAAGTAGGCCAGTGTGATGTATTTCAACTGTGATAAATGTTGGTAACTGAGCTTGTATGAAGTTAACCAATAACACAGTTCCTCATTCACTCTGACACAGCCAGTCAATATTAGTCTTGGCTTATCAAATACTGGATCAAAACACTCCTCATAATGAGGTCAGTATGCAAACGTGAGTCAATGTCCAAGGTTTTTTCCTTATTACTAAACCGTTTTGTTTCTTTTGTTTAAGTTGTAAATGGTTATTGCAACTGCACAAGTAATATATTTTACTAATTTCTAAGGAATTGGATTAGCGCCGTTTTCTACATCCAAATACATTACCACAATGACCTATAAGTTGGTTATATTTAAAGAATAACGTCAATAATAATTTGTTCCATTTTTTATGAAAAATGACAAGACATGTGTAACTCTGGAGTTTTTTCAAATAAAGAAATTAAAAGCTGATGAAATGTAACCGATTTATAGAATGACATTTGTTATTTTAAAAGAAATCTGCAGCTCAATTTTAAAATGTATGGACGCTTACCAACAGTACGGCTATATTAAATTACCCAAGTTTTAAACGGAGTTCTGAATGGATCCACATATGCCAATAATTGAACAGCAATTTAACCAACAAAAGTAACAACAATGATGAATTTCAATTTGACGCTAAACATGTACACCGTACACCACCTAAGCTAAATGATGGAACAGCGTTTGCTAATGTGAATATGTTATTGCATCAAAACAACAATATAACGTTACGTTGCCTCTCAGCGGCTGACTCACCTGCTTGAATCGGGAGTACAGTATAAAGTAGCACGACTAATCCAGATAGTCCTGTTATTAAAACATATTAATTAATGAATAACTGTACTTCCCGCTGGATGGTCACTTATCTTGCAGGTAAATAAGCCAGCGGCACTACCAGTACACCATCACTGCGCAGGCTAGTAGACAGCTGCTACATTGTCGCTGCTACTTAAGCTAGCTATCTTGTCTTTTGATGCCTTCAGGTGCTCCTCGTAACCTTAAAAGCCTAGCGCTGTTGACTGTAAATCATAATGCCCATAATTTAAATTACCATAACCAACCACAATCGTGTATTTTGACATGATAGCAGATTATGGCCTCTATAAACTCTATTCTGCCTTTAAAACTCTAATAAAAACTTGCGAGTAAAAAACAATATATTATCGTCTGACCATAAAGGAATTACCTTAACTCGTATCAGTAGATAATGTCACTTGATCCTAAAAGACACAACAGAAGATGTAGCACACTTGTGTATGCCCCCTCCGCAGACTGGATCTGCCCCGGATCCTCTGCCCCAGTGCCCTGTCAGCCTTGGACCTCTGCCACCAGCGTTTGTCAGAAAGTTGAGCCCCAACCCTGCTGGTATTTTTACAAGCCAAGGTTGCACTTGTCTTTCAATGTGATGTTTGTCATCTGATCAGGACACATAATTTCCACACAGTATGTGATTGTATTTAGTTTACACTGTGAGTTGATAAGATAGATCGTGGAGATGACCTGACTTGTGTTCAGATGTTGGCGAAGTGAGCTGCAAAGTTAGCGAAGAAATATATTATTCGTTGCAAGGGGGGAAGCCGAGCCTTCCCACCGTCCATATTATTATTTGGCCTCTTAAACTATTGATAAAAACTAAAACTACTAATTAAAGTTATTCTATATCTATATTATTGTTGTTCTTTTCTTCTCATTCTTGTTATCATCATCATTATTATTATTACTATTATTATTATCAAAGACTCTCTGTTGGTTTAAAAGATGGCTGTAAAATATTTATAGTTTGCTTTATTACAAAGAATTTATCAGTAATACACATGTAATCCCACACGGTTACAGAATTTTATGGGTTTAATGAGTTTGATTTTCAAATTAAGATTTGACCTTATCAGTTATATTGAATGTATAAAAAAATAAGTGAAAATGTGACATGATCAATACTACAAAAACTGTTGGAAAGATATTGGTGTGTGGGAACATAAAATATTTCTTTCCTTTACTTTTGAAATCTTTTGGATTTTTTTTTAAGAAGTGGGAGTGGATAAATCTAGAAAACAAATGATGGGCCTTAAACACGTGAACAGAGAAATGTAATGAGCTGTTCATGTGTAGTTAGTGTTGATCGTGCGTATTCGAATTTAAGACACCGATATTTCCTACAGTTTTAAAGGCAACAAAGGCCCCTTCTTGTCTTTTTCTGTACTGTAGCGCTGTAGCAACAACGGCTTTGCTCGGAACCTTTTTTGACTGATACTTGTTCCTGCACGATCAATTTTCTAGCAGGACACGAATGGACGACGGGAAGCTTGAGTTCTTGTTTTGTGGTATTAAAGATGCCAGGGCTGTCAGAAACAGAGCGTGCTGGATGTACGAAGATACTGAAGTTAATGTCAAAAGATGACTTATTGTCACTTAGTGACACTGTCACGAATAAGATGATAGCGGTGGAAAATAATAGAGGTATGTTTTTAATTTGTACCGGATAGCAACAGAATTCTGAAATACCAAAACAAAATAGACCGTAGTAGGAGGAAGAAAGGTGCCTGGACCAACTCTAAAATGTTTAAGTTTTAAGAAAATGAAGCTATAAAGGTCATAAAAGTCTCTGTAGGACTTCAGCCAATCACCAAAATACCTCAGTCGTGTACTAAGATACATGTTGCACGTTTACCAAGCGTGAGCTTATGCCAAAACCGGGATTTCTGCTGCTGTTTTATTTCTGCCTGCGGGAAATTATGTTCAGATAATGACACCATAAAATAAACTTGTGCCTGACGTTCATCTGTTCATACAGAGGCTATGGAAACAATCCTGTCCTTCAGTAAAAATGCCGAGGAACTCCTGCGAAGGAAGAAGGTTCAGCGTGACCTCATTTTCAAGTACCTGGCCAAAGAGGGCGTGGTGATGCCTCCCAACAGCGAGAAACATCAGCTGGTGAAGAGGACGCTGGAGCTTTGGTCGTCAGGGAAGGTACAGGGTTGAATATATGGAGAAAACCTATAAATCAGATGGTGACATTTAGCCTTGGATGGATGGATGGTACAACCATGTATTAAGGCAGAATAGAGGATAGATAACTTGAAGGCCGCTTGGAATACTATAAAAACCATAATTTCTTAAGTCAGGTGTTAACAGTTCATCACTCATAACATTTTTAACTAAAGTACATACAGCTGTCAAAAGGTTATTGTAGTCTGCATGGCAAATTACTAGTTTTCAGAGAATTTAAATGACTCAATACCGATGGACCAGACATCGGTACTTTTGAAATAATTCACAAACATTACTAGCAGGGTGGAGGATGCCCTGATCCCTCAGCTCCAATCTTTTTATATGTGAGATACCGTCCAGCTCATACTGGCTGAAAATCTTTTAGGTGTTAGGTGTTCTTCAGCAGATTTTCAACTGAAAATGCAACCAATAACTTCTCATTCATTCAAGGCCGTGGTTGATGAAGGCCTTCAAGGAGAGGTGGATGAGACCAGACAGAGGCGGCCCACAGAGACACCATCTGATACCATGGACTTGAAGGTTGAGATGGGCTTTGACCCACAGGCCCTTGGCCAACAGTTCTGCCAGTGGTTCTTCAAGCTCTTGAACAGTCAGAACCCCTCACTGGGGCAACAGCCTCAGGACTGGGGACAACAGCACTTCTGGTCAGATGCAAAGCTACGTCTACTCTCCAAGTAAGAACATCATTAACAGTTGGATGTGAACATGATTTAAATTAACCATCAACATGGGGGCTACTGATATTGATTTGATTGTGTTTGCTTTTCAGTGTCCAGATCAAATGGAGTTTAGCTCAGTTTTTGTTTATTATAAATTGGCTTGAAGGATTGTATTATAGGGAGTAATGTGTTTGATCTCTGCTGAATAATGAAACATGGAAAGTGTATTGAGGTTAAAGATGTTCAACATTGGCTTTTAACTTAATCATTTCCTTTATTTATTGTATTGTATAATTTGTAGCATTTTAAATTTCCACTTTCACTCCAGCAGAACTACAACCTTTTATGTACATAAAACTCAGAATCACAGAAATGTTCAACACATATTTACAGTTAACTGAGGGAAAACAACCCAAAACCAAACTCTGCTGACTGAGCTGCATCTCTGTTTCTCAGAGCTGGCAGTGAACAGATGGATGAGTTCCTGGGTGCTGAACTGGTCAGCCTTCGTCTCCTAGCCTTGACCAAGGAAGAACGCCTCCTTCTCAGCCCCAACCTGGAGCCCCATGGTCTCAGGACCCTTGCCTCCCCCCATGGCTTGGTGCTGGTGGCCGTGGCTGGGACCATCCACAGAGATGCAGCCTGCCTAGGCGTCTTTGAGCAAATATTTGGCCTCATCCGCTCCCCACTGGAAAATAACAGCTGGAAAATTAAATTTGTCAACCTTAAGATCAGAGGGCAGGATGCTCTGGGCGGGACAGAGGTGGCAGCGCCTGCCTTGAGTTATAACTCCAGTGAACTGCAGCTTCTCTGCAGTGGATGACACTCTTTTCTTTCTTACTCTCTTGATGCATCACTCATCTAACTCGACCAAACACATTTGTTTTCAGAAACTGGGGCTAGCAGCTTTACTGGCACAAACCTGTCCTAACATATGTATAGCTGCCAGGTCAGGTTGTACAGGTAGGTGGACACTGTTGCATCTAAATCTACTTTGGAGGCATATTGGTGATGTAACATAAAAACATGACGGATCTTGAGGAAAGGATTCCTCAAGTCTCTGCTGCTTTTTGTCGGGGAAACTTTTTGCTTCAGATATACTGTACCTTGATGCAAAACATATTGTGCTTTGGTGGTCTGTGCCTTTTGCAAGATGAAATATAAATACGGACATAATCTTGTAAATATATAGAATATAAAGATTATGTTAACACTTGTGTACAGTTGTGCTCTATATATCTAAAATTGAAACTGCTCTTTAAGGCATTGCTTTATGCCAGTGTATGATTGTTACACATTTAATATCAATATTTATCTTCTCAGTTCCACAGTTATACGACATTTCTTTGATCTTCAGAACATACAGAAATGTAGGAGTAGGGCAGAATTAGGACGGTACTCATCACAGGAAACCGTAGCCTTGTAGCTCTCTCAATGGTCTTCAAAATGTATGAATACATATAGATATAGATTGTTTTTAAGGGCAAAAGCTACTATTTTGTGCCAGTCGTTAATATCCACACATTTGATCATTTCCATGCCATTTAAACAGGTTTGATTACACGTGTCATTATAGACTGACTGCCTCCCACACCACTCTCCAATAATTTCAGACATCTCATATAAAAATGAACATATTTAGTAGCTTTGGTCAAGAAGAAAACCTTGATCATATCTGGAGTGACTGTCAATTTCTTTTATTTTTCTGCTCTCCAAAATGGCGTATGACATGCATACCATATGTATGGGTCCAGCCCTACTCTAAACGTTTCAGAGTCTGCATTTTTGCTGGTAGGAATGAAGACAACAGCAGGTTTCCACTCCTCAGTGCAGTACAGGAGGTCCAGCCTCATCTATTCTACTTTCAGAAAGCTCAGGGTGATGAGGGTAAGATTCAGGGGTCAGGGGAGGATCTAGCCTCTTCATCATTAACACAGAACCTCAGCATACTGTAAAACAGCTGAGCAATAACCACTGAGAGGCCTTGACTGACTCCATTAGTTTTGGAAATACAAGATTTATCCCCAAAGCAGCTTTTCCTTCCTCACTAGCTGGTATTTTTAGCTACATTTCAACTGCACAATACAGCATTTTAACCGACATGCTATATGGCCCTATTAAAGCGACAAAACTAAATAATTCATTTACAATACATTCCACAAGCTTCAAATGGACTCCTTATTAATGAAATGGCTCTGGTTTTCCATCGATTCTACTCTGTCATCCTACTCGGGGCACATAGGGTCTGGTGGGGCAGAGAATATGCCAGTATGACTCTGTGGCTTTGGTGGGAAATGTTACATGTGGGAAATTATTCTTGGCAGTCGCTTTCAAAGGCCCCTGGAATAGTTAATATTTGTGACTGTATGGGTCGGAGCCGCATGGCCCTTTGTGCTTTACTGGGCCATAGTTGTGGTGAGAGGAAACCACTGCAGCCATTGATCTCAGCCTGTTCACCTCTCAGAAAGAATAATAACAAGCTGCTCGCCTTCTGTCTTTATGGCACTTGGCCTCTCTGTGTTTTAATAAGCGGTTTGGCCACGGGTACAGCGCTGACGCACGGGTTAAAAAATACCACTGCAGTGGCGTCTGGTGATGGTTTTGACTCCGAAGAGTTTTTTTTTTTTTTTTTTTTTTTTTTTTTTTCCTTTTTTCTTCCCCTCTTCTAATAGGAAGTGTGTTTCTCATAAAGAAACATGCTAAAACTTAGATCCACGGCTCTTTGAAATAGCTTATGGGTGGTGAACCATGGAGACTGCTGCTTTAATTATCAATCCATTTTTTTCCACCTCTTACTTTGATTGTGACTGATTGGATGTTAGTTTTGCTCTGAGAAACAGCCTCATTACTTATCAAAGATTACTTTATTAAACGCTTCATGCTACAACCATTTTTCACTCTCTGACAATCTGATGGCTTTACAGATCCATTAATGCCAAACTGTATTTTTTTTTCAAATTTATTTCTACAGCACTGATTCTAAAAGTGGGTCTTTAGGACACCCAGGGCTTTGCCAGGGATTTTAAGGAGTCCTTGAAGTAGTTCCAGGCATTTGTTGCAAAATAAGGAATAATTTCATCTTGATATTTTGGAATGACACATATTTATACAAAAAAAAATACTGTGCTAATATTCTTTTATATTTAGTCAGTGATAAGTCAACGTGACTTGACCTCATGACAACATGAGGCCAGAAGAGGGCAGACAAGCTACACCACAGAGGGGAAAGACTTTGATCCCCGGCCAAGAAAAGAAGAGGGGAAAAAAATCCTTTTAACACTATTATGTGAGGAAACTCATCAATTCCTAAGAGCAATATGAGTGAGCTGATGTTACCGGGCAATTTCTATCTGGCTACAGCCATGAGGAAAACTGTAAATTTTTCCAGTTTGAATTGTCCTCCATTAAAGTAATGGGGTTCTAAAAGAGAGACACGTTAAACTGTTGCCTTTCACAGGCACAAGAGCACGTATTTCACAAGTAAGCACGTAAGTTATTGAAGTGTCAGTAATTTATCGGTACCTGTGACGGCATCAGAGACAGCTTTAACACAATGCTCTGTGCAGTCTGCATTCTCTGGACAATAAAGAGCAGGATTTATGAATGGGAAGAGAATCAATCAATAGGCAATGATATTTCTCCTGCTGACAAAACATGTTAGGTGGAGAATTCAATCAGAGTTTGACAGAGTTGTTTTGTCATTTTGTTGGACTTGCCCTCCAACCCAGCGGTGTTTCATAAACCAGTACACACTAAAACTGCACTGAAACAACCACATAACTCGTGGTGGAGGGAATGAGGTCAACAGTGTTTGGCATTGGTGTTAAAGCCACAATCCACAATTCTCCAACCTTATACTTTATCCCTTGCTGAGGAGGAGGTTACATTTTTACTTTTCGTTCAGTTTTATTTTTTGTCGTGTTGGGATTTGAATTGGCCCACTGCTCTACTTCTACATAAACAGGTTAATTATCTTACATTTTAAGTTGATTTGAACAAAAACAGTGACTCCAAACATCTATTTTTTTTCAGTACTCAAAGAGAAAGACATTACATCACAAAATCTTAAACAGTCACCTCTTGCCACAAAGCAATTTCCTGGAAAGGTCTACTTAGACTCCAGATGCAAGTAAAGTACTAACATTTACATTTTAAGGAATGAGTTCAACCACATTGTACTATGTGTAGAATCAGGTTTGGCCTCATGTTTGTTTGACCTTACATGACCTTTAAGGCCTTGTTGGGAGTGGGCCTGAGCCCTGTGTGCATCACACATCTCCCCTAAAGCATCTCTCTTCATTACATCCCCCGATGTCTGAGCTGACATCATCGTTCCGTTTCAACACAAATTGGTTTGGACCGACGAGGCAGCCGTCACAGTTCATATCAGCCCTTCTCTTGGCCTGGCGGTGTATCCTTACACATGCATCATTATCTCACGTAAACAGTGGAAATGCGAGACCGCCGGGGGAACCAACGCCATTCAGAGCAACAAAGCCAGGGCTGAGTGAAAAGATCCTGGGCGGTGACACTCTCGTTTAGCATCAATTAAAGAAAACAACAAGCAGAGCCGTTTCTGAAGGCAGCTGGGTCCAATGTGTTTATTTATACTGAAGCAAATATGTATGCTTGAAGGAATGCATGCCTCCAAGGATGTTTCAATCAGAAAAACATGGAGGGAACATGGGTAACAAAAACGTCCTTCACATAGAGATGTACTTGAGTTGAGCTTGCACACAATATACTCCCCCATCTCTCTCTCTCTCTCTCTCTCTCTCTATGTTTATCTCTCTACATTCCTCTGTCTCTCTCTCTCTCACATATAGTGGCCCTACTGTGCAGCTTTGCACTGCGTCCCTTTCGTATGCAGCGCAGGGGCCCCCGGTGAGGGCCTTTCCCTTGGCTCTCGAACTAAGCAGAGAAGATGGTGTTATCTGAACGCTGCCAGGAGGTTGTCAGCTCGTATTGGGCCCGAGCTGACCGAGTGGCCGGTTGGCGGATGCGTGTCGATGCCAGGCTCACAGTGCCTTCCCTCCGTGGACATCTGCTGTGTGTGGAAAAGCTGTGGAGTTTGCCTGTGGTTGCATCTTAATCCTCCATCTCTTCGGCCCCAGCCATGCCTGGCCGAGCAAACCAGCAGCTCTGCTCGCCTTGCTTGTATTAATTGCCCTTGCCTGGCTCGCTGTTTGCTTCTGATTACACTCATTAATTTCAATTCCCTGGGAAGCCACCACCACCGTAGCTGCCTTTAGACAGCCACACACACATACAGTACACAAACATGCATTGACAGGCATAAATGCATATTGTGAGGGACATAGCCTTGCATTTTATGCACAGTGTGAAATATTCAACATTCTTTAAATTGATTTCTTTGTCTGAACATTCATTCAGCACACCCAAATATTGCCTCAAAATTACAGGCATGCAGCTATAGAATAACTTCCTTTTGGGGGGGGGTGCTCTAAATATTACACTCCATATCTGTCATCTTGAATATTTTTTAATGCATTTTTCCTGTATCATATACACAGATGCAAACACATCATCCTCTGTGTGATCAGTGGCTGGCCATGTGTATGTCATTAGCAGCTGTGGTCTGTGTCTACCCTGGCGGTTCTCTCTTTGTAAAGAAGGGGACAAGAAGAAAGTTGCTCTGACCTGCTGGTCATAAGTCAGTGTCCTCATCCCAGCAGGTGGACCACATCTGGTAAAATACCAACATCTGCGCCGGCAGGGTGGCCTCGTAATTATAGCCGTGCTACAGACTTTGTTCAGAATTGGTAGGAAAAATCAATGTCAAGCCATATTATTAACTTTGTCTCATTAAATTTTCAAGCTCATACGCAAACATTTCCACTCAGCAAATGTAACATAATTAGCTGATGTACAGCAGCTTAGTGGCAAGACCAATGACAGAACCAGATATTTTAAATCCTGTATGTTCCTAATGAACAAACACGAAACTAACTGTGCGTGTGTGTATTTATCTGCAACACAGAAAAATATCTGGCAATTTGAATATGTAACACAGGAACACTGGCACTCGAGCCAGGATAACACATTAAAGTCACACGCAGTGTGGCTGCCCGGAGGAGTGTGTGTGTGTGTATATCCACCGAAATGCTCACAGGATGTATTTATCATCCACAGGACTATCATCAGC